TCCGAACAGATCCCGTATCTCTATATTCAGGTTCATCTATGACTTCACTTCATCTCTCTGATTGCTTTGATAAATTTACTGCTTTGGAAAGGCTCGGAATGCGAGATTTATGGTATTGTCGGAAGTGCAAGGCTGAAAAAAGGGCAACTAAGAAATTTGACCTCTGGAGCCTCCCCAAGGTCCTTGTTATTCACTTGAAGCGATTTCGTTCAAATTTACGTTTCCATGATAAAATTGACACCTTGGTCAATTTTCCAATCAAGTGAGTGCAGCTTAGTTTTGTTTGCTATATAAAAGAAAGTTCTCTTGCCTACGCGAAATTTAATGGCTTCGTGAGCCTAATCAGCTTTTGTTAAAAAATTTGGCAATCAGTCACCTTATGTGACCTAGAGTCATTACAGCTCTTATTCAAGATCTTCTCATGGTTTCGAGACTTTACTACTACGAATTGCATGTTTTAGTCTTTTGGTGATTGAGACATTAACTATGCTTAATAAATGAAAACAAATAAATACATGAAATTTTAAGGCATATGACACAGCATGGATCATGCCAAATTTAAGAAAAGGACATTAATATACATTGTGATAAAGGGATAAAATCTGATATAGCTTAATGCAAATACCATGCGAATGGCTTAATATGAGCATAAGGGAACTAATTATGGGAGATAATATAAAACTAAAAAATGTCAACTTTTGGCTAAATGAGTTTAACAGATATTTTAACTATCATGATGCAACTTTTCTGAAGCCTTTAGTTTTATATAACGTATACAGTTAATGGTGCAAATCTCTTACTTACTATATTCAATAATAAAATTTGTTTAACCTTGTTTTCGCATTGTATTCTTTTCGTATTACCCACTTTGTCCGGAGTCCATATTATTCATAATGATTTCTAGAGTCGGATCATGGACACTCACAGAGGTTGCCATTTTAGCATCGTCACTGAGTCTTGCCATTACCAACACCACACTACAGCTCGTCAAGTGAAATTGATCCCTTGACCATTTGTTTGTCAAACATTTGTAGTCTCCTGTCCTGGTGTATTCATCTATCCTATATCCTCGTATCCCCTGTTATTTTAGGCGGATTTAGTGAGACTTATTCAAACTCTCCCATCCCCCTTCCCCACTATTTTGAGAGTTGTTATCTGAGTCTGCCCATTTGCACCACAATACTCTTCCTACAGGTCCTATCAGAGTCTCCCTCTTGCACGGTAGGATACCTCTATCATATCTCTGGATCAGAGATTTCACTCAATCCCTGCCGCCATATCCATGCTACTAGGGGCATTATGTTCTATACTCTGCCTCAAGCCTTTGATGGC